AAATTAGACAAATTTATTTTCAATAAATGCAAACAATCCTAAAACAAAACTGTTTCAAAATTAACATGGTTTTTGCATAGCAGAATGCAGAAAAATAAGACATTACTGAATTCACTCTTGATTCACACAGAGTTCCTGCCTGCCTACTGCTTACCTATTTATATTTTAGTAATCTAGCATTATATAGAATGATTATTAAATATGTACTGATATTTTACATCTTTCTAACACACATTAGGAATGTGCTCCGACGATTTTCAGCTACTCATGTTTATTGGGAATTCTAAGAATTAGACCCAATGTACTCTGGATAGTAAGGGAGGAAAGTCTGATTTATATGGAAAAAGAAAACAGGTTTCCACATGAGACAACTGTAACAGTTGTCTCATGTGAAACTGACAACAGTTTCCAGACAACTGTAGTTATGGCATTTCGTTAATTTTTTTTTGCTATTTCCATTTTATATCATTGCTTATTATTCAGAGGATCCCAGAGCATTATCACGTCACACTTATACAGCATATCCACCCTAAATTTCTCGATATTTTGTAAAAATATAAAGTCATGACTCTTCACGAGCAGCAGACATGTATACAACATTAATGGAATAATTTTAGTTTTGCAAAACTGTATACAAATATTTCAAATTCCTGTAAAATTCAATAGGTTAATGAATATGCCGAACATTGTCGTAAAAAAATACACAAGGAACACACGAAAAACACAACCATTTATATGAAGAAATTGAAAAAAAAAGCCTACTCGAAACTGGAGAAAAAACAGCAAGAAAGCAATTTGCAAACGCTTACCACGAGGTCAAAAATTAGTCTACTATCTCATTAAGCAGACAAAACAGACTATTACGTATTTTTTAAAAAGCACACCATAATAATGTGCTAGTTTTCTTTTTTCTTTTCTTTCTCCGAAATATATACTGAAAACTTACTTTTGGGCGGACAACTTTTAAACAGCAAGCATACACTTTCCCACCAGCGTATGCTAAAAACTACTTCTCCCAGAATGCTGCTGTTTCAGCGATCTTTAACCCTTCTCAGGGAAGGAGAAATAGAACTGATTTCATAATGGCAGAGGGATTTATTCATGGTCATAGCCTAAAAAACTGAAGTTGAATCTAATATAAACATTTAGATTAAACAACATTAATTACACAACAAGCTAGTGCTTACAAGCGTATTTGCATCGGTGCATACTTGCTGTATAGAAAACTTTTGAGGTAGCAAAAGTAGCAATAGCAATAGCACTTAGACTTATATTCGGCTTCACATTGTTTTGCAGCCCTCCCTAAGCGGTTTAGAGTCAGCACATCGTCCCCAATAATCTGGCTCATTTTACCGACCTCGGAAGGATGGAAGGAACATGCTATATCATTAGAAATCATATTTCAAAACTGCATTGCATAGTTAGTCTGTATGATTTAATGCAGTATTTTTCACTTAAACTTTGGTTGGAACATTAATTCTCTTGTATTTTTTTAATTATATAATTATAATTTATATAAATGCAAAGAGCCCAGAAAGTTGCCTTAAACCATAAACAAGTTTATAAATGCTTCTCCATTTGCAGTTGTTTCCAGTCTGTTTCCAGGCTCAGTTCAATCTTTAAAAGAGGGAATAGTACAATAGCAGAAAGCTTGTGCGCACATGTATGCATGTGCACGTGCACATACACATACAAAAACACCCAAGAGCTCACCAAGTGCTATATAAAATTGTTAAAATATTATTAATGTATTGACCAAAAATTTGAGAAGTAAAAAGTTTTATTGTTACTTATAAAATCATAAAGGCAGGATAAAATAACCATTGCTTTATTGGAACATGTCTATTTTTAGATTTTAATCCATAATATCTTATCTTTATATTTTAACAACTCAAGGCAGCAAATATAATACATCTTATTCTCCCCACAATTACAACCCTGTGAGCTGGCTTGAACCAAGAGAGCATAATTACCTCAAAATCATCCTACCAGCTTTCATGCCTAAGGAGGACTAGAACTTTCAATATCTTGTTTTTTAGTTTAGTATTTGTGACATATATTGTACCTGTATCAGGCACATGGAAATTGTTTATCTTAAATTTTAAACCTGCTTTCCTCCTAATATGCTAATAATAATCCGTATTATTATTTTAAAGCTGTAGCCATATAATTTGAGGATCATTCTACTACTGTATGTGGAAAATCTACCATTCTGGGAAAGTAGGTAACCCAGAAGATTTTCACATAGACCATGCCAATTTGGCAGTTCAGCTGTCCTCCTATAATTCTGCAGAAAACAGCATTTTTTCAAAGTAATCTTTTGGGGTACCTTTTTTGGCTTTTAACACAATTTGGTGTTTGGTTTCTAATTTTCTAAAACCCTTCTGAATAGAATAGGAATAGAATAGAAAAGGCTTTATTGGCCAAGTGTGATTGGACAAACAAGGAATTTATTTCCGGTGCCTAAGTTCTCAGTGTATATATAAACAACAAAGTTATATAATAAGTGTACATACAAACCTACAAATAACATGTATATACAAACAACAAACAAGGTAATATAAAATACCAATAGGAGAAGGTAGTAAAAAAGATGAGAAGAATATAGCCATACTATATAGGTAAATATCCTTAGGCATAAGACAGTACTGTGACAAGTAGGTGTTCAGCAGAGTGATGGCATAAGGAAAAAAAAAAGGCCTTTGTGTCTAATTGTTTTGCCACGCAATGCTCTGTAGCAGCATCCTGAGAGAGGAAAGAGTTTATGTCCAGGATATGAGTGGTCTGTAGGTGCTTTCTCACCTTTCTTTCTGACCTATGCAGTATACAGGTCCTGAATGGAAGGTGGGCTGGTTGCAATTTTTTGCTGCAATCCTAACTATCAGTTGAAGTCCGTACCTGTCCTTTTTGGTTGCTGTAACAAACTAGTGTTGAAGGAAAAATCTTCATCAGGATCCAGTCCAAGCCGAGAATAAACAACATGGCAACTGCTTTAGAAAGAAGGTTGTAGTTTATTGAAGAGAGCCAGACAAAAAGATGGCTCTGGAAAAAAAGAGAGAGCACATGTAGTAGGGAGTGGGTTTTATACCTTCTTGGACTTTTGTTTGGAGTTGTTCCTGTGGCATGAACTTTGACCTGAGTCTGGGTGTGCCTTTCTGGTATTCTTATGGTGGTGGGTTAATCCTATTATGTCATGTCTTAGAGTTTGGGTGGGGTATGCAGTTTTTAAGGGTCTTTGTCTTCCTGATCTCTTCAGCTTCTAGCTGAAGGGCTCCAACCTTCCAGAATGGATTATTACATCAAATATTTCTTTCTCTGGATTGTTCCCACACTAGACAGTTATAGAAGTACAAATGACAGACTCAATAATTCTTCTGTAGAACTTTATCAACAGCTCCTGGATAGTCTGAACTTTCTGAGTTGATGCAGAAGAACGTTCTTTTTAATGATGGTTCTAATGTTAGGTGTCCATTTTAAGTCCTGAAACTTAAACATACTTAAAACTCTCTACAGTTTTAAGTGTGTTCAGCTCCAGATTGTTCAGGCTGCACCATAGCTGGAACAGCCACAATTTTACCTTGGATATATTATTTTTAAAGATAAATTTTAGTTATTTCTTACAGTTTTCATATTTATGAATATAATAATCTAAGCTTATTATGGGTTGTCAGCCAAAAATATGTCTTTGCTGAAGCAAGACAGGTTACCTAATATAACATTCTATCAGTGATCAAGAATTAAGAAAGTTCTTAAACATGAACAGGGAATTAATACTTTCTAGTTTTATTCTTCTGAAGGTGTTATTCAATATATATTTCCACTGCTTCAGACTAGAAATCATTGGTAGTCTTTTTCTCTATGAAGTTTTCCAATCTCGTTTTGAAATCATTGAAACTGGTAGCCATAATTAATGGTGCCAAATTCCTGTTTAACTACATTATAGTAACAGGATGCAGATGTTTTGGATTCAATTTGAGACAGCTCTTTGGAACATGCAAAAGTGAAAACGCACCTATATGCAACATATTAAAGCAGTTTCAAGCACACTTGGAGGATAGTTGTTTTGATGAGTCATACAAGGGTACTGCATTGGGGCTAACATTCCAAAGCAACTTTCCAAAATGAATCTGAAGCATTGCAGAATGGTGTAAATATTATGTACAGTGGTTTTTATAGCTTCTTCGTAAGTGTCTAGGGAAACAATGGTTTGAATTAAGGATTTTTGGCATGCTCAACGTTGTGTCCTGTTTTCTCTTACCAGATATTAAGGCTTTCTTATCCCTCTCCCTTGAATTATAGCTTCAAGTAATTATTTAATTCAATTAAAATGCTCCTGACATTTCCTTTGTATAGTTACTGAGTATTGTATGAGGCAATAGGCTAAAATAAAATGTTTTTGTGATTCATTTTGTTACGTGAAGTCAGTTTCTTCCTTAGTTCCTCACAACAAAATGTGTAGAACTCCGCGATATCGCAATTACCAATGACATTCTTCATTTGCCCTCTCCCTGGCTTATTCAGTAAAACTAACCATCTTGTGGTGCGAGCAGAGCTGATTAATTTTGCTGAACCTTTAAAATGGCGCTTTAGAGATTGCTACCGATTGACCAACTTGCTTTGAGCCTCTGTGCTAGATAGACATATTCACACTAGAGATTAAGCCGAGAAACTATGCAATTATGTAAATGCAAGGCAGATATTTTTCAGAATATGTGAAACGTCGGGCTATGTTGCAAGCTACTCTCTTGAACCTTTCCGAACAATGTTTAGGAGAGCTCCGATGCGCCTCCCGTACCACATTAACCAGTCTTTTTGTCCCTCCCAGCCATACAAGCTCCCACTTCTTCGGCAAGCCGCGCTCTCCCGACTCCCAGCGACAGGCAGTCACCTCGCCGTGAAGCGCAGCAACATGGCCGCCGTGCACAGCGAGCCAACGGTAAAACTAGGCTCTTCCACCCCCGAGAACCGCGTGATTATGAACCTTCAAGACGGGGGACTGTTTAGTTCAAGCAACGTTTAAAGCGGAGGGAGCGCCCACGAAGTGACTTCCACGATCAGAAAATTAATTTTGACCTAGGAAGTAATCGTTATAATCTTCTTTATTATGTTCTTCCTTCCTCGCGTATACTTCACACGGAACTATGACTAGCGGTTGCAGCAAATTGAAAAAAAGGCAGCAATGTCTGTGGGAAACTCGGCCGTCCGGGACTCTATGACCAAAATCGAGGGTAGAGCGTCCACACAGACGACTTCAGTCCCCACCTCCGGCCTCAAAGCAAGCAATCAGAGAAGGCAGAACGTAAAAGGAAGAGGTGGGAAAGAGCTGCATCTTCTTCCGGCGTTGCATTGTAGAGCGCAGGCGGATCTGCGTCTCGAGGAGAGAAGGGGTTTGTGCCGCGCAAGGCTGTCATGGCGACTAACATCGAGCAAATTTTTCGGTCTTTCGTCGTTACCAAGTTCCGGGAGATCCAGGAGCAGCAATTCGGCAGGTAAACCGTGAGAGGAGTGGGCTTATGTTGCTTGGGAGCAGGTAGCGTCTGGCAGCGGGTACGCGGAGTAACGGATGAAGCGGATGGAGTGGGGGAGGGGTTAGCCAAGAGACCGGAAGGGGCATTGAGGGGGACACAGCTGTGCGAGAATGGGGCCGAGGGCAGATTTAGTCGGGATATCGATTTATATTAGTCACGGAAAGAAATTGGGCCTCCAAAAACCGAAAGGGTGCGGGGGGGGGGAAGAGTCAGAAGGTTGGAAGAAGAAAAGCCGACATATGCGGCCTAGAAGTAGGTGGTAGTTGGATTGGCGTCGCAAAGAATATAAATACTTCGTTATTTGAAATTTCGGAAATCGGATCGTTGGACGTATTCAATGGGTTTTAGAGCTTGAAAGCGGATTTTAAGCCCTGGGACTATTTGAGAAGATAATTACTTATCCAGCAAAACAAAAATTTTAACTGTACATCATCTAGTCAGTGTTTTAGAAAATTGACGTGTTCAAGAAAGGCGTTATTTGATATCCTTTCCCGGGAATGAGAAAGAGAGAAGAGTTACATGGAAATGCCCTGATAAATCCACTTCACTGTTTGTAGAAAATTGTAGAATCTAACTCTTTTAAAGCATAGCTTTAAATCAATTTGCCAAGAGTGTTATTGCAAATACGAATTTTTTTTTTAAATGTAATTATTTTAAAGTAAAATTAAACATTTTAATAATGGTTGTGAAACTAATACGGTGCTTAAGAACATCAATGAAGGATCTCTATCCAACTAATTTTATATATTGGATTACTTGTAAAATTCATAATAATTTTCTTTATTGATTAAACTATCATTATATTACTTAGTTATCATAGAATCAGTGTTGACTCCTGGTGACTGACTGGACAAATCCTTGAGGCAAGAGTTCAGAAGTGGCTCATCATTGCTTCCTTCCTAGGAGTGACAATCCCAAATCACTCAGCTGTCTTTCACAGCTAAGGCAGGACCAGAATTCAACTCTTTTGGTTTCTAGCCTAGTACCTTAACCACTAGCTCAAACTGCCTCTATTTTTACTTTATTGTACTTATATTCATCATTTATTTTTATTATTATATCTGATACTCATGTAGACCTATTGGACAAGATGGACAATAGGGATCTCTTTGGCAATGCTAATTGTGTAAAACACCAAATTCTGATTATGGAGGCAGTAAATAAAATACTTTCAGAAAAAAGTATTTTGAATACAAGAGGGTTTTGTCAAGAAGTTATATCAAGCTATTATAAAGATTATAAATATTCTTTAGATTTTATAATTTTGGCAATTGCAACAAAAGATGCAAATTGGAAATGTGCATATATATATAGCAGTTAACAAATGTTTACATTTTAATAGCTGTTGTATCTATAGTTTACTATCTTAAATTTTGTTCTTTGGAGGACAGTAGCTTAAATGTAAATATGCTCTAGGTTTTAGAGTCATATTTACTACCTAAATCAACATCCTATGTGTGAATGAAGAACTAATATTGAGATTTCTGCCCTAAATGGTTGCATTAAAAATAATAAAAACTTTCAAAGAATATGAACTTGTAGAGTGAAATCATTGTAGGTCCAAGTGTACTTTCTTCAGCATATATTTGTGAAAATAAATAGGCTGAATGACATACCAACTCTAAAACTTCATGTTTTTTTTAAATTACACTCGATGTAACTGTGAAATATAACTTTGTATGCATTCCATTAAAAGTTATAATCAACGTATGTCAGGGGAAATAAATTAATAGTAGTCTGTTTCTTTTTTTCTTTTTAAATGAGGTATCCTTCATTAAAAACACTTAACTATCTTGGAAACACTGCCTGATCCTGTTTTCATTTAATACTAGTAGTATTTCAAGGGCATCCGTGCCTTTGAATTAGTATTCCAACTGTGTTCAAAACCATTCCAAATATGCATTGAGATGCTTACCAGCATACAGAATAATTCTTGTAAATATTCCTTTCATTTTCATGAAACCAATAAATGTAGCTCAAGTTTACTTTAGTTAGAGTAAAAATAAATCATTGTATCAGTGTCATAAAACTATAAAAAAGGGATGTTATATTCTGGAAAGGAGTATAATTATCAACAAATTATCACTTGAAAGGATCACTCAATTTTATTATGCTCTATAATGTTGATTTGTAAAAGGCTTTTATTTACCTATATCAGCTCAGTGCACATAGCTGAAAAACATATATAGTTAATCAAAAATACGTTGCCTTTGTTTCAAGCAGTAACATCAGAAGAACAAATAGCACTAAAGATTGACAACTTATAGTAGGAGATAATACTAAAAAAAAAGAATTCAGCTCATGATAATGCAGGCTTTATTGTATATGCTTAACTGTAAGTTCATTTAAAAATATCAGATGTAAAATACTACAGTTTTCTGCAAGGAAATTTATGTCCTCCCACTGTTTTTAATCTAGTCTTCTGAGTAAAAGTATGGTACAGTGCTTGGCATTCTTGTCTCAACTGTTAAAAAATGGATATTACACATTATTATATGTAACATATACTTCAACGGACATGTAATGTTCTATACATATTTGACTGTCATAACTTAAGACTTCATTATTTTATTGTGCTAAATTTTATGTGATTATTACTCGTTGAGAGCTTTTTCCTATATTGTGAATTTCAATATGAACATAAATTTAATATTTATTCATTTTTTGTCTAAGAGACGTTTATGTGAATTGTTGAACTAGTAAACATAGGGTACATGTATTTGACTGTATACTTGAAATATGTCTGATCTTGATATTTTTAATTTTTTTCTGATTAGTGGAAAGCTAGGAAATCAGCACAATGGTGAAATAAACACATCTGGACAAGTAAACTCCTCAGATGATACAATTCAATCTATAGAAAGTCTTCAGAATGATTCACTAGTGCAGAAGATAGAACAAGTATTATCAGAAGTGTTGGGTACTGAGCCACGGTACAAATCAGGTAAATTAAAAAACATTTTAAGATCAGTATGTAATTTTAATTACATTTATGTCTTTAAAGTAGTTAATGTTTGTAAAATAGTATGTTATCTCTAGAATGTGTACATGTAAAATAGCTTTCTGGAGATGAATAACACTTGCAAAATGTGTTTCATAATGTTTTCTGTACCTTTTGCTATATCAGGATAGATTAAATTGACATTTGGAGAAAATAGTTGGATCAATTTTGTATATGTTTTGTAATTTATATAAATTAAAGTAGCATAAGTATAAATGTTTGTTTAATACTTTCTAAAGCAATATTTTAAATTGTAATAGTTTATAGTAAAGGTAATTTTCTGAATAGAGTTCTATGCCATAAAGAAGTTGAGGGAAGATTTTGCCTTCAAACATTTTACCTATTGATATAGGATCACCTCCCCTTCGTTTGGAAAAAAATAAGGGTTTTTTCCTTTGGGCATAGAAAATAAAATATTTGAATTACACTCTCCACAAAAATACAAAAGACATGTAGACACTATTTCCATTAATATGTCAGATGTGTAGCTGTTAACTTTTTTTCAGCAAAGTGCATTATCTTGGTTTTTGGATGGTTAATAACCAGTATTTCAGCTTTACAAAAGACCAGTAGGGACTTCTGTGCTTTTCTAATATTTTAACATATATTGCTGCATAACTATATATGTTAAAATTGGAATCTGTTTACCAAATGATGAAAATTTATGTTAGAAAGAACATGATTTAAGTAATATATAAATTAAAAAGAAATTGAACAAAAATGCCCCCACATTATAATGAAGATAAACCCCTAAATTAACCTAAGGTATAAATGAATCTGCTATAAAGAAATCAATAAATACAGGTAGTCCTTGATTTACAACAGTTCAGTTAGTGACTGTTTGAAGTTACAACAGCACTGAAAAAAGGTGACTTATGTTTTTTAACATTTATGACTGTTGCAACATCCTCATGGTCAGGTCAAAATTCAGCCACTTGGCAACTATGGTTTATGACGGTTGCAGTGTTCTAGAGTCATGTGATCAACATTTGCGACCTTCTGATAAGCAAAGTCAATGGGGAAGCCAGATTCACTTAACCTGTTAGTAACTTAACAACTGCAATGATTCACTTAACAACTGTGGCAAGAAAAGTTGTAAAATGGGGCAAAATTCACTGAAAAAATTCATTTAGCAACAAATTTTGGGCTCAATTGTGATCGTATGTTGAGGACTACCTGTATAGGACCTTAACTCTTTGAGAATTCATGGTATATATCAGTATTAGTAATAGTTGCTTGTTGACTCAAATAAGCTGACAATCCCAGCAAATATAGCAAAACTGCTTAATATTTGTAATATTTGGCCTTTGATTTTCATATAACTTTATGTCCGTTTTTGTCATTTTATGTTTTAAATTTTAACCAAAATATCTTTTTAAAGGGGATGGAGATGATATCGAAAGGAATAATTCACGTTCTATTAAAAGAGGCTTATCTGAAGATGTGCAAGATGAAATTCCAAGGAAAAAGTCTAAGAAGGACAAGAAACACAAAGATAAAAAGAAAAAGAAAAAACGAAAGAAGGAAAAAAAAGAAAAGTATAAAAAACATGCCAAAGAAACAGATGTTCAGCAAAAAGAATGTGGAGATATGCAACTTATTTCTCATTCAAATCTAGAAAATTCAGGTTTTCTCTTAAATGCAGAAAATGATATAGATACCCAGTCTGGGTCTATCTTGAAAGACGTTTCTCCTTTGATTAATGAAAAAACTGTATATGAAAATCTAAATTCAGCCATGTTGAATAATATGTTTAGTTCAGATACCAGCAAACTGGATATATCTGAAGAAGATTCTACTTTGATAAGTATTCAGGAGGTCAGTGAAGTCAAGATTACAGATGAAAAAGAATTGGAAGATGACAGTTACCATCCTAATGTAACTGTAACTATATGCCCAGAGGATAAATATTTAAGTGAAACTGTTTGCACAGTTGTAGAAGGAGTATCAGATATAAAAGAAGTAGAACAACCTAAGTTAATATTGGAGGCAACAGATCAAGAATACATTCCTGAAAGCAGTCCATTTTGTGTAAGAGGGGAGCCAGAACATTTGGAAACCAGGCTGGAATCTACTGCAATGAAAGTAACCTGTATAAATTCAGTCACAGAGTCTGCGACTTCGAAAAATTTGAAAGAAACAGTATCCACATCCTTTGAACCAGCTGGCTATAAATTAACAACCCTCCCTTTGGAATCAAATGCAGAAGCTAAAGAGTCAGTAACAACTTTGGGATTTTTAGCTATGGTGGTAGGAAAAGATTTTGAAGCAACTTCAGAATTTTTAAATACTGCAAAAGTGAAAGCTTCAGAAAGAAGTCCGAAGCATTCCGGTAGAAAAGGTGATTCAGTTCACGAGTCTGAGAAAACTATCACAGTGAAAGGTTTGCACAAACCACAACAGTTTGGAACAGAAGGGAAAGATTTGGAAACTGCTCCAGAAGCTGTCCATGCAGCCCCTGAAAAAGATTCTGAACTAGCTGTGGTAGTTCAGCTGAAACCTCAGCAAGAAATTTCAGAATTTGATGTTCAAAAATATAATAGAGCAAGCCTTGGTGCAGAGATTCCGAAAGAGATGAAAGAATTGAGAGAAACTCCTACTCTCATGACAGGACTGAGTGAATCAGAAAAAAATGCAGGATATCTTCCAATCCAAAAAAATGCAAAAGATTTGCAAAGAGCACCACTATTAGAAAATATGACTAGAGTAGATTCAGAAGAACATCTCTCAGTTGTAGTGTTGGAAACAACGAATTTAGAGGTTAATACTGGTTTTACGGAAATTGACAAAAAATATTTAAAAGCAAAATCTGCTGGTGTAATAGAATCAGAAAATTGGAAACCTGCTCCAGAATCTTTTAAAGCAAAGAATTTAGAGTGCATCCAGGAATTTGAGAAGGCTGAACAGATTAATTATTTGGAAACCTCATTAGAAACTGTAATAGAAAATAGAGGAAACTCTGAAATCATCCAACACTCTCTGGCACTGTTTAATGTGAAAGTTCCTGAAAATGCTTCACAATTAAAAGAGGTGAATGTTGCAGAAACAATAATACAAACACAGGTTGGGAAAACACAGAATTTGGAAAGTTCAAAATCTGTAGCTCTAAGAAATAAGGAAAACAAGAATGAAGAGAAATTGAAAAATATTCCGGAAACTTTGATGATTGTAAACAATTTAGAAAATTCCTCTTCACAGTGCATAGAAGAAATTAAAATAGTGAAGGAAACTTCACAGTCTGATATGGAGGCACAAAAAAAAGATTTCAAAATTGGTCTTGAGCCTGAAGAGGAGAGAGAAGAGAGAGAAGTGGATGCTGGTTCAGGATCTCTGCAGATGATATTTGCAAACTATTCAGAACATAGTCTAGAACTTTATACAGAAACTAAAGGTATGACAGAGTTGAAAAATACAGAAGCAGTGTTGAAATCATTGCATAAATCGAATACTGACAATTTTGAACCACCGTGTGCCAAGGAAATCAAATACGTTAAAAGTACAGAATCTGGAGCAGTGACTGAAGCAAATGATTTGCAAGAAAACTTAAAACCATTGCACAAACATGTAAAAAATGTGGAAGCTGCATCAAAATCAATTACATTACCAACTGTGACATACACGGAAACATTAGAAGGTACTTCCAATAGGAAACAAAGTGAAACCGAATCTCATTTTGTGCAAGAAATAGAACAGAAATGTTTTGATTCCACTGTAAAGAAGAAAAGTAGTGGAGATACAACGGATTTGGGACTTATAGCAAGAAGTAAAGAAGTAATTGAAACAAACTCCAGTAAAATAGAAGAAAGTGAGTTGTTAGGTAAGAGTCAAGATCCATTATTCGTTTCAAAATCATTGCATGAAATTGATGTAATAAGTTCTGAAAAAAATAATCAAGAATTTAAAGGAATAGCAGCAGTACAAGACTTAAAAGAACCTGGAAAATCTTTGGCAGCTGCAATTGATCCTAGGGAATTTTTACAATTGAAGAATTTAGTATTAGTTGAGTCAAAAGATGATTTTCCAGTTGGCAGTACTGTGAAACAATTTGAATCAGTTTCAGAATCTCTTGAACAAAATCAAGAACAATTAGAGCACACAAAGACTCAAATTAGAAAAGAATGTTTAGATTCTGTGCCTGATTTAGGTGTTAAATGTGCAAGAACAAGCCCAGAGATTCTATATTCAGATGAATTTAATATTCAGGAGAACAAGAAATTGGAAAAACAAATAGAAACAACAGGATTAATGGAAGCACCAGAATCTCTACATTTGTCAGAGAGAGATCTGATTGTTCCAACTTTTGATTCTGGAACTAAAGTTTCAGAATATGGTCCAGAAACTGCGTACTTGACAAAAACAAATTCAAAGACCATCCCAAAATCTTATGAAATTCAAGTGAAAGATTCAAAAACAACTTCAGAATCTAAAATGATAAATGTAAAAGACTTGAACATTGATTCAGAACCTTTGCTTCAAGCAGGTGTAGAAATTAAAGAATATATTCCGGGATGTAAATCAGTGCTATCATCAGAGAGTATGATATTTACAGCAGAAACTCCCCGAAAAAATGAAATGCTTCCAGAATCAAATTTGCAAAAATCAAATACAGTACTCAGAAGTGAAGGATTGACATACGAACATTTGAAAACACCTCCAGCATCTGTATATGTAATAGATACTGAAGATTTAGAAATACCTCCCAAGTCTAAAGAATTGGACGTAATAGAAAAGCAAGGTGTTCTAACATCTCTATTTGCATCAGTGGAATCTACAGATGTATCAGAAGAAAGTTTTGAACATAATTACAAAACAAATGTAAAGAAGGTAGAAGCAAGTCAGAAGTCAATTAATGTAGAGTCTGTGGGTAAAGAAAAGATGAATGATGAATCTGTCCAGCCATTTAATGAAAATGATGCAAATGTATCAAAACCATATTTGTCTTCAAATCATGCTGTAAGGGCACAAATTATAGAAGATAGACTGTCAATTGCTGACAAAGAAAGTGTTTCTGGAATAACTTCAGAATCAGGGACAGAATTAGTATTAAAACGTTCTGGAGTTTCTGAAACTATCACAGGTCAAGAGAGAGAGAAGCTTGATACACCTCTGCCTGAATTTATGATGGATTTGAAAGAAAGCCCTAATATTTTAGATGCACAAGAGATGAAGAATTTAAAAGGTATTCAGAGAGAAAAATATACTAATTCTCTTTATGTATTAGAATCCAGGGATGCAGCTGATGCTTCACAGTCTGGGTCTAAAGTTGAAAGACTATCAGAAATAAAAGATCCAATGGCTGCTTTAGTGCAATTAAAGAAACCAGAATTAACATCTTCAGAATCTGTTTCTACATTGGAAGTAACTGACACATCAAAAATCCCAGAGCTCAAAACTACTCAAACATATTTAGGAGTAACTGGTTTCAAATCTACTGACACAGCTGCAGAGAGTTGTCCACTAGAAATCATTGACTCTGACACACAAATACAACCAGAAAACATTTTGGGAGTAAAAAATTTTGAATCTGTTTCAGAAATCAAATATGGGCTAGGAACACATCCATTCAAAATTGCTTCAGAATCTGAAAAAGTGACACAAGACCAGCTTTCAAAAGCTATTTCAGACATATTATCTTCAGGCAATATAGAAAACCTGGAACAAATTTTGAAATATAGACGTAACCAGGAAAGAAAAGATTTAGAGTCTTCCCAGTTTGACATCCCAGTGGCCAAAAATTTAAAAGGAAGTCTTCCATATAAAGAAATAATAGGTATTTCAGAGACGACTACTCAGTTTGCAAAAGCAACAGATACAGGGTCAAATATATTGACTATAGTTCCAGAAACAACTGAAAAATGTTCTGAAATATTTCTGGAAAGTGTAAATATGTCAGATATACAGGCTACAAATACAAATGTAGAACTAGACAATTTAATAAAGAAATCACCTGACATTTCTACAGATACTAATAAATCAAATTCAGGATTTATAGATATAGTGGAATTGAAATGTAACAATGCTGCAGAATCTGTACACATGAAACAACTGGAAGATTCTGAAGCAGTTGCTGTATGCAAGTCTGTCATTGAAATAAAAAATATCCAAGCTGATGTACAAACATCAGAAGAGAAAGAGCAAATGGATTTTCAGAAACTCTCAAAATCAGTGTTACCTTTAGACATTCAGAATTTGGAAAGAAACTCAAGTTTGCCACAACAAAAGATATTAGAAATATCTCTAGAACCTGCTAAAGATTTTGTATCCGTTTCTGAATGTTCAAGTACAAAGAATACGGAACAGAATTTAAAAAGTGGATTTGTGGCAAAAGCAAAAGCTCAGGAATCAACTGTAGAAGATGTGATACCAACGCGAGATAAGAGTGCAGAAATACCACAGTTATCTTTGGAAATGAAAGATTCAGAAGTAACCTTAGAATCTGTAGGTGTGGCAAACAGAAAAGACTTAGATGTACAGACTTCTTCAAAGGAACAAACAACTATAAAACCTCTCTGTATTGCAATAGAAGACAATGTAGAAGTTAATCAACTGGAAACTATTGTGCTGGAAGATTCAGGAGAAGCTGTAAAGCATGTGCACGTGGCAGAGAAAGAAGATACCAAAATGGGAGAATGCATTGAGGCAAAAAAGTCAGAAATAGCTGTTGAATCTGAGGTTATAGTAAAGGATAAAAACTTGGAAGTTTCTCTTCAGGACTCTTCAAAATATCAAGATTCAAATGCTTCTCTGAATTCTTCAGACATACTTAAGGAAAGTGAAGTGAGTAATTTAAAAGACAAAAAAAGTGAAAAAATAAGTAGTAAAAGTAAAGATAAAAGTAAAAGTGGAAAAAAAGCAAAAAAAAGCAGATCAAAATCTCCTTCCAAGTCAAAGAAACGTAAAAAGAAGTCTAGATCACGTTCTACCTCTAGACAAGTATCTAGAAGAGCACGTTCTAGAAGCAAAAATGATTCCAGTTCCAAGAAGCATTCTACTTCACGCCATAAGTCTAGATCCAAATCTGTTGATAAAAAAGAAAAAGAATCTTCATTAAGATCTAGACGAAGACGTTCACGGACCTCTGATCGTGTTAAATCTAGATCTAAATCTCCTGATAGAAGAGAAACTTCAATAAGATCAAGACGTAGACGATCTAGATCTTCTAATCACAAGTCTAGATCGAGATCAGTTGAAAAAGAATCAGCTAGGAGAAGACGAAGATTATCCAGGTCTTCTGACAATCGCAGGTCTAGATCAAGATCAGTTGATAGAAGAGAGATTTTGACAAGATCAAGGAGGAGGCGGTCCAGATCTTCTGACCATCATAAATCTAGATCACGGTCAAGTGACAAAAGAGAGACCTCTGTGAGAACAAGGCGAAGGCGATCTCAGTCTTCTGATCGTTGCAGATCTAGATCTAAATCTTTTGACAGAAGAGACTCTTCAGTAAGAACAAGGCGAAGGCGATCTAGATCTTCTGATAACCTCAAATCTAGGTCAAGATCTCCTGATGACAAGAGAGAACCTTCAGTGAGAAGAAGGGGGAGAAGATCAAGGACCCCTGAAACCCGCAAATCTAGGTCTAGATCTGTTGACAGACGGGAGATTTCAGGGAGAGGAAGGCGAAGGCGGTCAAGATCCTCTGATAATCGTAAGTCAAGATCCAGATCAGTTGAGAAAAGAGAGAGTTCAGTGAGGGTAAGGCGAAGGCGATCCAGGTCTTCTGATAACCGCAGATCAAAGTCCAAATCTGCTGACAAAAGGGAGATTTCAGTGAGGACGAAACGAAGGCGGTCTGTGTCCTCTGATCGCAAATCTAGATCCAGATCTGTTGATAAAAGAGAGACTTCAGCTAGAACAAAAAGGAGACGTTCTAGGTCTTCTGATAATCACAAATCTAGATCCAAATCTGTTGAGCACATAGAAACAGCAGCAAAGTCAAAAAGAAGGCGATCTAAATCTACTGATCATAAGTCCAGAACAAAATCAGTTGAAAAGGGGGAGTCGACCTTAAATTCTAGACATAGACGATCTAAATCATCAGATCGGCCAAAATCTAAATCAAAATCTAGATCAAAGTCTTCTGAAAGAAGGAAAGACAAAGATTCTGTAGATGGATCAAGAGGAAAACGTTCTAAATACAGATCAAAGTCAAAGTCCCTTGAGAAAACAGATGGAACTGAGTCTTTGGAAGCAACTTTGAATAATCGAGAAAAATCACCTGAGCAGCAGAAATCTAGGTCTAGGTCTAAATCTATAGATAAAACAGGAGAGAGAGAACGCTCAAGAAGATCAAGAAGTAAAGGTTCCAAGTCTTCAGAATCGAGGTCTCGTAGACGTAGAACAGTATCAAGGTCTAGAAGAAATCGTTCACAATCATTAACACAGAAGAGAACAAGATCTAAATCTAATCATCGATCACAGTCACGCTCTCGAACTCGTTCACAATCATGTTCAAGACGTTGGAGGAGGACTAGGTCAAGATCGGTATCAAGACAGCGATCTTTGTCAAGGAAAAGACAAAGACGATCTCGGAGAAATCGATCAAGATCAACTGACAGGAGAAGAAGAAGATCTGATTCAAGAGACAGTTATAGAATATCTCTCAGGTTACGGTCCAGAAGCCGAACACCTGTCCGTCTGAGGTCTACAGGAAGAAGAAGAAGTGCTAGTAAGTCACCTGATCATCGACGATCTAGATCTTCAAGCAGATCACCAAAACGTCTCACTGACTTGGGTAAGCAAACATTACTTCTTGCTAGATAAAACTATCTTGATTATTTTGGCATTCATATATTCATTTCACATCATGAATGCATTCAAAGCTATTCCCCACCCTTCAGAAGATTCTTGAATGAAAAGTGAAACATCTTCAAGGAAAAACAAAATCCAGTTACCTTTTGAAATTTCAAATCTGATAAACCCAAACCACCTCCTTCCTTAGCATCTTGCAGTAATTTGTATCTAATTCTTGGTTTTTTTCCCTTGCCATATAAACTTGGAAATATCCATTGCCATTGTTTAAATGGAGTATCAGTTGCAAGTATTGGCAGTGTCTGAAAAAGAAAAGGCATCTTTGGTAAAATATTCATCTTAATTACAGAAATTTTACCATTAATGATAATTGCAATTTATCCCATCTCAGTAACTCATTTTTTACATCATTCCAAAGAGGCACATAGTTATTTTGAAACAGTTCTGCGTTTGTATTTGCCAATATAAACCTCAGGTATTTTACTTTCTTAACCTTAAAAATCAGATTTTTTAGTCAATAGGTCACAATCCTGGGAGTCATATTCTTAATAAGCATTGTTGTTTTCTGTTTATTTATTTTAAAACCTGCTAAAACCCCAAACTCACTTAATTTCCTCATCAAATATTCTATATTATTTTAGAGATAAGATAACCTTTATTGTCATTTTTTACTGTGGGCACACTGACACACATTAAAAATGAAATTCTGTTGCCTGCTCTCAAAAGAAAGTATCCACCTACCTACCTACCTACCTACCTACATACACATACGTGTGTGTGTGTGTGTGTGTGTGTGTGTGTGTGTGTGTTGTAAATTACTGTCCATTTTGAATACTTTTTTGAGGGTCTTGCAAAAATATAACCAAGTCATCAGCAAATGCTCTCAATTTATAAACTTCCTTTTTAATTTTTATACCTGTTATTTTCTCATCTTGCCTAATATCGCTATCGAAAACTTATACTGCCTCTTGTTCTACTTTAACTGATTACTCAAACTTAACTGGCCTTGAGTGAATGAGAATGCTAGAGCAGATATTTGGAAAGAGGTATATGATTGTCCAAGTTATAAACCTGCACTCGAATTCTGTAAGTAGACACCATGAGACTGACACAATATAAATAAATAATTTCATTTTCCTTGTAGATAAGGCACAATTACTTGAAATAGCCAAGGCAAATGCAGCAGCAATGTGTGCTAAGGCTGGTGTTCCACTCCCACCAAGTCTGATGCCAGTTATAACTCCAGAAAAGAAGGAAGAGAAAGTTACTCAAAAATCAGCAAAAGAAACAATATTAGAACTGACTGAGGTAAGAGGAAAAATGAAACCGATGTAGGAAAACTAGCTAGAGGAGTGCCAAAGTATCAAATCTGAAAGCGCCTTTAGGTGCAAATCAGTTATTTTAAATATAAAATACTCGTTTACTCAGGCATCTCCAAAACTGAAATGGAACAGAGCATCGTGAATTTGAAATTGTTTTGCATCCTGTCTTACCACTGATTTAATGAAAACAATTCATGCTATATTTAGTTTTCAAAATAAAAAAAATACCCTGTTTGAAAAACATTAGATCTCGTATAAGGACAAAAATAAGTGCAACTTGAACCGAATCTGGATTTTCTTTTAAATAATTTGTATATATGTCTGGGTGTGCCTTTGATGTTGATTTTTGGCGACTATCTAGATCAGTGATGGTGAACCTTTTAGAAACTGAGTGCCCAAAAACTGGCCCTGCCCCCCGCTCCACCCCCTGCTCTGCCTCTACCCTGCCTGCCCGCAGGGCCACTCACCGCGTCCAGGGCTTGCTGCAGATCGCCCAGGCAGCCCAGCAGTGCCATGGCCATGCCCTCTGCCCGCGCCCCACAGCCTCAACTGCGCGATGGGGCGTGAGGGCAGAGTCTTGTCTACGCTGCCTGGCTGCCATGTCCTTGGTTGCACTGCTCTGCGTGGGCCATGCTCAGGGGCGACTCCTCCAGAAGGGCTGCTGGTGAGGGGTCGCAGGGGGAGGCAAAGCTGGGGCAATGGCACGTGTGCCCACACAGAGAGGGTTCCGAGTGCCACCTCTGGTACCCAAGCCATAAGTTCGCCACCACTGGTCTAGATCATGAAGTTTTCTTGACAAGATTTCACAAGTGGCTCACCATTGCCTTCTTCCTAGAGTTGAGGGGATGAGGTCACCCAACTGGCTTTGTGCCTAAGGTAGACTAGAATTTATGATTTCCCACTTTCTAGCCAGGTACAATTTGGTTATATTTTAGTGGATGTTTGTTCCAAGTCTGTTCTTTGATTTTTTAAAAAAGTTTTTAACTGTTATCATTGTCATATTTTAGGAAATGCCATTATATACACTTACCTCCCCAACCCTTTAATCATACTTGTTTCATTGTATACTATATAATGTTAACTTTATTTTCAGAAATGCAAGAAGATTGCCCAAAGCCAGGAAGATGATGTCATTGTAAATAAGCCTCATGTTTCTGATGAAGAAGAGGAGGAACATCCTTTTATCAATCATCCCTTTAAGCTGAATGAGCCCAAGCCTATTTTTTTCAATTTAAGTGTACGTATTGTAAAATCCTTGTAGCTGCATTTTGTTTCATTTAAGTACTTTTACAAAATATTTAACTGACAAGGAATACACAATATAATGTTTTATTATTAATTGCAGAGAAATACTAATGTTCACAATACTTGAAATAGGCTATCACTAGCATTTAGGCATATTCTGGGTTTTGAAGTAGATTTCACCAACATTTGAAAAAGCAAAATATGTATAAGTTATAAGTGGTGAAAAGATAGAGATTACATTCCTCCCTTCAGGTAACTGAATATTTAGACAACACACAGTAATATATTTACACTGTTGAAACAGTAGTGAACATTGGATTTGTTTCATATAATTTATGGAACAGTGTTTAGCAGAATGGGAAAGACACATGATTTCTACTACTCAGGAGTCCCAGACTCCTCAAAAATTGTTTTGGAGATTTGGACTTGGATTAAGGGAAGTTCTGTTATAAAAATTAAAACTGCACGTATGAGATTGCATTTCATTTTATGATTTATTAGAAGGTTTTCATGATGGTGAGCAGAGCCAACTCAATTTAAAATACCTTGATGGAAACCTAGAGAAACTGTTTAATACCTTCTTAGCATCATTTCAAAATCTTTTAAAATGCTTTTTATTGGAGATTTCAGCAATAGTAAAAGGTAATACAAATTGAAATCAAAAAGAAAAGAAAAATGAATTTTTTATAAAAAATAAAATAGCTAAAAATAAATAGCATAATTAATATGCATTACAGTATGACCTACCATCATTACTTAACTATTTGTCATGGTTCCGACTAATGAAACACTTCAAAGAACTTCCAGGCATTGTTTACCCTAAATGCCTTTATTAACAGTGTAACAGATTGACGGCACTTCATGGATGGATGCCAGAATCTGAATTTCTCTTGCTTGCCTCTAACTTTTCTTGCTAAACCCCTCCCTTATTTTGCAGTCATAAGTCACATCTTCCAATTAGCCCAGAGGGCAAAGATTCACTTCCGTTCCTTTTCCCGGGCTTTCCTTATAAATCTCCCTTTCTCTGTCATCTGAATTAACTCTAAAAATACCAGACAGTTCTGTATATTTTGTCAAAGCAATAATATCCTATATTAACAGTGTCAACATCATTGCTGTAAATCTTTAGAATGGATCAAAACAATTGTGCTTTTGCCTATGATGTCTGTTTTCATAACCTGGATGGCAAATACTTGGAGACAACCTTCTCCCTATAATAATGAATTCATGTTATATGGATTTACCTTGAGTAGAATTCTTCTCATGAGATAGTTTAAAGAGAAAAGAGGCAGTTTTTGCTTTTAATGGGTTAGTGCATCAGAGATTGTTCACAAAGTTGATGGAGAATGAATTCAGATATCACCATTTATTTCATTGCTTTCCCCCCTACTTTTGAAACATTTATTTTTTCAAAAAAAAAACAGTTTTATTTTGCTTTGTATAATGTGTTTGGAATGACACATTATACATATTAGTTGTGATAGTAGTAAATGATAAAAATGTGATTAAAATTATCTGGATTGTAAAACTTCAAAGTTGGAAACATGGTTTGTTACTCATTCAGTTTGTTGTGCATGTTTTGCCAATGCAGTGCTAGGAATTTACTTATAATATATGAGTGCTTATAATTGTAAATCTGTTTATTATTTTCTTTCTCGCCCACCTCCCAAAGACTCCTACAATAAAACCAACACCTCCAAAAAATCAGGTAACTCTGACAAAAGAGTTTCCAGTTTCTTCAGGATCTCAACACAGGAAAAAAGAAGCAGATAGTGCATATGGGGAATGGGTTCCAGTTGAGAAGAACAAGGATGAGAACAAGGATGATGTGTTTCCCAATCCAGCCAGCTTGGAGGTAAAAAGTTGAAAGAGACTGGAGATACTGACTATCCATCTTTTCATTAACTGTATAGACCAGTGTTTCCCAAACTTGACAATTTTAAGGCATGTGGACTTCAACTCCCAGAATTCCACAGCCAGCGTTGCTGGCTGTGGAATTCTGGGAGTTGAAGTCCTCATGCCTTAAAATTGTCAAGTTTGGGAAACACTGGTATAGACATTAGATTATAATCTAGTGTGCAAGCTGAATAATTCTCAGTTAAGTATAGAACGATATGCTGATTTTAGACTGTTTGCCTGCTCCAGTCAAGTTGTCAAACTAATTATTTTAGTGATACAAATTCTAGAGGAAAGTTGGAATATAAACTTAGTTTTAGAAAATGTATGCTTTTATAAGTAAGAAAAAGCAACCATCCCAATGCATATAATTTGATAATTAAAATAAGCTATGTATATTATGTTGATCATTTATATGGCTGATTGCACAGTCAGATATTTACACTGGAGTTGGTATTTTTATCCAGGACCTGACATAAGCAGATGTTTGATGGTTTAAAGCAGGGGTATCAAACTGCTGGCCTGTAGGCTGGATGCATCATGGCGAAACCGTGCCCACCCCATTGCCGGCAATGGGGGGGGGGGAAATCGTGACACATCACGTGACATTGCGAGTTTGACACCCCTGATTTAAAGGTATTGTTGCAGGATAAAAGGTGTTCAAAGTAAAGTTGCCTATTGCAATTTACTGATGGTTATTTTGTCGATGCTGATGGTTTTCAAATAGCACTCTAGATATTTTGGAATTGCACTTAAGGCAGCTGTTACTAGTGGTGCTATCCATGCCCATCTCACCAATAGGCAATTCTAAATGGCTTGCAACCAAGTAAATGCTACAAGATAACACATTAACATTATATTAATATTAAAATTGGCTTAAAATTGAGAAACCTGACAAGGGAGCAAGATACGCATGGGATGAAGGTGGAGTTAACCACTTCCAGTATGACACCCTCATCGAGGCATCAGGCCAGTTGGCAGAGCCAGGCCACCAAGCCCGTTCAGAAGGCCAAAATGATGGGGGGCAAGATCATCTTGGGGGGCACAATGTTCCAGAGGGCAGGAGCCATGGCAGAAAAGGTTTTCTCGACTTCGTCAGTCAGAATTCCTTGATCAATGGAATCATGTCCTTTCTGCCAGTATGGTTGGGGTAGACCAATCCCATTGGGGTGAGGTGGTTCCTTAGGTAACCTGGACCCATGTCAAAAAGGGCTTTAAAGGTAATAACCAACACCTTGAATTGAAGCAAACTGGCAACCGTGCCGCTTGCAGAACAGCGGTGTAACTGGGGCCACCCTAGTGGCCCCAAGAACTGTCTGCATTCTGTGCCAGTTGTAGTTTTCAAATACCCTTCAAGGATAGCACCATGTAATGCCAGATGTAAGATAGCAGAGCCTGAGTGACTGAGTACAGGGATTCACAAACCAGCAAAAGGCGGAACTGGTGCACAAGTTGCATTTCATAGCCCCACACTGCTTTGTTGTCTCTGTTATTCTGTGTTTACATGTTCTGAACATGTACTAAAAGTGTCCTATTGGCTTATAATTAGACAAAAGTTTGTATTTCTCTGTGGGAGAATATTTACCGAAGGGAAATTTCCATAGGGAAAAGATAATATTTTTACTATTTTTTTAGCCTGTGGACATCTCATCAGCATTGACTGAACGGACGATAGCCCAAAAGAGACTTACAGAAAATACATTTGATCTGGAGGCAATGTGCTTGTTAAATCGTGCACAAGAACGGGCAAGTTATAGCTTCTTTCTATCTCCCAATTTTATCTTGAAAATGTTATAAAAAACTGAGGAATGTAAAATCTTATCAGTTTTACATATTTCTGGCAGTATTAATTTCAGACTTTTAAGTTTTTTTAAAGCTATGTTCTTTATGTGTTCCCATACACACAGACATTGAATTGTTTCCTTAGGATGTGATAAGCAAAACACGAGAAAAAAAATTACTTTATATGCCGGCGTATAAGGCGACTTCCGCAAGCGCTAAAATCGGCGCCAAAGACGGGGGTCATCTTATACGCCGAGTTGTCTTATACGCCGGAAATACTGGTAGTTTCCGGCGTATAAGACGACGTTCTAGGAATGCAGCTCAGCGACAAAGACGGGGGTCGTCTTATATGCCGGGTCGCCTTGTACGCCAGCATATACGGTAGTAAGCAAAATTGAAAAGAAATGAAATCTAATTTATATCTACACCTTTTTCTCTTTCAGTTTTTGCAAACTCTCTTTTCTTTCACCATATAAATAATTGCTTTTGTCTTTAAACTTCTCACTTTTTTGAGGATCTTACTGAATCCAATTTCCTTGATCTCCTCCTCCTTCCCAATTCTTTCTCACTGATTTGTTATTTCTTATACATTATTTCTACATGACCAAATCACCTATATCTCTTTTATACTGTTCAATCAGTTGTGAATTAAATCCATATGCACATGCCATTCATTCTTAACCCTATATCTTTTTTACTATACAAACTTCTTAATTAACATATTCCCACTGCATTCAACTTTTATGTTTCTCCTGATACACCAAACTTTAACTTCTGATTAATGAAGTGATAAGATGCAGATTGATATGCAGCCAATTTCACTTCATTCTATTCATTCTTTGCAGCAAGATTCATACAGTCCACTACCTTTATACATTTTAAAATTTCACTCCATTTTTCCCTCCTCCATTAAGGGTCTATCAAGTTTCAACGAGCCAGAAATCATGCTGATTGATAGGGGATCAAATACTTATTTCACTCATTAAAATGCAGATCAATTTATAACTTTTTTGAAATGCGTTTTTCTGGATTTTTTTTGTTATTCTCTCTCGCTGTTAAAATAAACCTACCATTAAAATTATAGACTGATCATTTCTTTGTCAGTGGCAAATGTACAAAATCAGCAGAGGATCAAATGCTTTGTTCCCTCACTGTAGCTAGAGGCACTACAAGGAAGTTACGTTGATATATACTTAATGTTTGGAAATGTTTTAATGAATTATTATGCTCCTTTGTAATTGCAGATTGATGCCTGGGCTGAGCTGAATTCTATACCAGGCCATTTTACGGGCACTACTGGAGCACAGGTCTTGACTTCTGAACAGTTATCCAACAGCGGTCCCCAAGCCTGGGTTAAAAAGGTAGATGATATTCAGACAGATGAGTCCAAATGTCACAGTTTAAATTCCTTTGAAATCACTGGAAGAAGTGATACTGATGCTCTTAGGACATTAGTAACATCCTAAAATATATGCAGAAAAATAAATTAAAAACGTTTATTTTTGTGTTCTGTCACGAAGTGTTTTGCATTCTGTATTTACACTGCTTTGATACCCGGACTTTAGAAACTGGGAGACTGATATGTGCTCACCTGTTTAAAAATAACTGTTTTAATTTCTCTCCTAAGGTTACTGTTATTTTGTGCTGAAATTGTCCTGAAATGTGGTTCCAATTCTATGGGCTTTTCTATTAGTTTAAGTCTTGATGCTGATTTCAGTACAATTTGGATAGGAACTCACTTAATGGTCAATATGGCTGTAAAAATTCACTTGCTTGTTTCTGTTGTGTACATCTTTGAAAGGGGAGAATTAGAAGTTTGCCTAACTCTGGCCTGAACCAATAGTATTCTTGGCTCTTAGGAGAATATTCTAGAATTTTCTAGTCTGCAAAGGCAACGTTAAGAAGTTATTATCATTATCATTATTAAATCCTAAGAACAATGGCCCATACTTGATGGGGACATCAGTAGGAGACAAGTTGATGAAAGTAGACAGGTAGTCTTTGCAAATTGAGGAGAGGGGTTTTTTTTCTTTGTCTGCAGAATATGATTGCGCATATTAATAGGGCAGTGGCAGAGCTAACACACATTTATTTGCATTTATTTGTTGCTCAGAAATAATGCAAAGACAATGAAAATAAAGGCTGTTTGGATAGTTTTCACAGTTGAGTTTTTATAAGACTGATCCTGACCCCCTCACAGAGCCTATGTTATATCTGCTGTTTCTATAGCTGAAATCATAAAGGCGCTTTAAGTTTGTAGGAACTATAGTTTGAGAATTTACAGTTTTGGAAAGTTTAAAAGACCCTTTACATAGTGGGATTGTACACTTGGCAAGTACATTTTTACAGTCTTCTTTATATATTCGTCATGCTCACAGATCTATCAATTAATTTTATGATTGTCTAATTCTGATTGGCTTTTTTCAAAGCCCTATTAGTTGGAGCCTGCTTGTTTTCAAACGCATTGTGGTTGAATCAGTGCATTTGGATACAGTAACTAGAGTTTTATATTTGTGTTTTGTTGATAAAATGTATTATATACTTTTACAGTTTTGTAATTAAAGTATATGGGAAATAATGTAAATACACTATATGTAAATATTTCCTCATGAAAGGGTTTTCTCTATGAAATAAAACTGGAGAATTGTTGGTAATTATTAACATACAGCAGCCATTTTAACAAGCAGTTCACTGAAGCTCCCATTATATGCTTGGTATTCAGCACCGATGTACAGTTCACAAAAAAGCCATCCTTTCTGTAATATAATTGGCAGAGTATCTAATTTTAGTACGTGCTAATTTTAATGAAATCTGAAAAAAAATGGAGAAATCTTGAATCAGGATGTCCCAGAAGATTTTTGCAATAACTTTTTTTCCTTGTTTTTAACTTTTCACAAGATGCCTGAGTGACACATCTAGGGGCATATCTTTTTTTTTAAGCAATGACAATTTTGTAACTACTTAATTAGCTATTTCAAATTGTTGACTGGCTGAGGACTGCTCATAGCCATTCTTCACAGAGGGTTGAAGCTTTGAAATTAATGTATGTAGTGTACATATATGTAGCTGGTACTGCTTCTGTTTTTTAGGATTCTAATATAGGAGAAATTGTCTATTAATGTTCTTAACTCAAGCATTTTGTTCAGGTCTCTTATATCTATAATAATCTTTATATTATATGCTTTAGATTACAAATTTCTCTCTTTATAATATAGTTTGTTAGAGGAATCACATACAATATTGCTTTTTTCCTTCACCTCCTACAAGTCTCAGGCAATTATTCACTACTTGAGTAGAATAGTTATTGGAGGCCTGGAATATAGAGTAGTTAGCATGTTGCTGGTAATTTTTTTTATAAAAAGTGTTTGTTGAATGTACAAATATATGGAGATGAAGCTCTTGAATTGATGTAGTTTGCATTGTGTGATTTCTATCACCTTTGATGTGAGGATAGTTGGGTAGAAGATTTCTCGGAGATTTGTGAGATTAGACCGTTGAGCTTTTTAACTGTCTGGTATTGTATGTCTCCACATATTCACCCAAATTTAGAGGGCTATGTATATAAAAAATTACTCTATGTTATCGGAGCTGTCTCCTTGTAAAAATGATGATTTTTCCAATGAATAGGTAAACCAAAAGCACCTTGAAGCAGTAATTTTTAGATTTTGTTGAGTGCGTAATATCCCTAAATACTCTTCATATTAGAGTTTTTGATTATATTCCCAGAAAATGTTGGTTTCTTGAGTAAAGTTTGAACGAAATAAGAAAGATGGAAAAATCTATACAAATCTATATATAATAGCCTATATGCATACAGAATTCCTGAATGAAAAGTCTTTCTTATAGCATTTAAATTCAGTTGCCATGATAAGCATTCTTTCTTGCAAATAAGACCATTTACGCTCAATAGGACTTGAATGTTGCATATGATTGGGCTGTTAATTTCTTTGCAAGTGAAATCATATGAAAAACAAATTAATTCACATTATTACACATAATAAATATCCACCATTTTCTTAAAAGAACAGTCATTGGATCTGTCAGTTGACTCTGGTGAATTATTGGTGATTTTTTAAGAAATGAAATGTTAAGTCTATACTGTATCAAGCTTTTTAAAAAACTTACATTGAAATTTAACTATCACTGAAAAATAAGAGAAAGATACACCAAAGGTTATGTTTGTTAATGTGCTTTATGTTGTAGCAAGCAAGCCACTTTTAAAAAAGCAATTTGTGTTTTTATTTGCTTGAATTTTAAGCAATGTAATATAAAATGTTTGGGTATTAGGGTTTTTGATATTTTTAAAGAAAGAACAACTTTAGTCTGTTTGCATTATCATCAATGATGTAATCAGTTCACAAATACAAAAATATTAAATTCTTCACAGTACATGTGCAACACATTTCTTTTTAGGCTTACTGTATTTATTTGCTTTTTGAATCACATATATGGTGATTTTTTGAAGAGGGTATTAAATATTAGGCCAAAATTGAAAGAAAACAATATTGATTGTCCAGCAGAGATTAGTATCTCAAATAGGAGTCCGTGTTCCACAATATTTTTCAGATTTACTCAATAAGTAAGAGTGTTTAGGAGCCCAGCCTTAATAACGTATTAAACGAAATCTCGCTTGATTTTCAGACAGTGCCACATATATTACTATCAAAAATAGTCTTTTAGTTTATAATGGTAACCAAATGCACATTGTCAGTTATTTCCTACTCTAAAGAGAAAAGTCAGAATACAAAAAGTTTTAACAGTTTACTTTTTTCCTGTACTTTCCCACCAACCAAGAAAATGATAGGCTGTTCTTGTGAAGGCAAATGGGATAAGCATGATAGATCTAGGAGAATTGGTAGTGCTTGGTGTTTTAAGGAATTATTACTAGGTTGAGTGCTGAAGTTGAATAAAGCAAGTATTTTGGAAGTTGAGTTCCTTGGATATTCTGAATGCTGTGCTCTTCTGAAGCTTCCCCTGTCCCAGTACTCTGTCCCCCTTCAGGACCTAGATTTCATCTGGAGGGACTGACAGCGCTGATCTTACACGATTGCTGCAATGAACAGGAAAGCCGACCAGGAATTCCCAGGTGAAAAATGTATAGGAGAAAGCATAGTACTTCATAATGGTATGATATAACAATAATCTTCCCTTACTTCAGAAATCAGTACCTGCCAATATTACTCTCTCCTGAAAGCAATGCAAGATCCTCCAACAAAGTAAGCATGTGTGTAATACAAAACAATTGGGGAGGGGGCACTTAAGAACAGGATCGATATATATAGACTTCTCAGATTTGCAAAAGTTGGAATACTGCTGATTTTGGACCTTCCTAGGAGCTTTAAACCCATACCACTATATTAAATACCACTATATTAAATCAATATAATAATAAAATGCACTTTATTTTACCTGCAACTTAAAAGCACACAGGACTATAATTAGTGATTTCATCTAAGGGTTAATGTGTTCTGTCATGGAAGTAATGATCTGATTTCTGTTGATAATATGCTTCGGAGCAAGGCTTCTTATTTCTATAGAAACATTTTTAGAAGCACGTGATCTGCCTTTTAGCACTCTGGAAGCATTTTTCAATGGTAGATTCCTGATGTTGTGGACACTGTAGCTACAGAATGCAGATTAGAAAAAATGGATTGTATGTCCTGAATTCAGATACAAGAATGAGCTAGATATAGTTCCAGTAATTGGAAATTAGAATTTCAGCTCCATTTGCAATTCTTTTTTCTATATTATTCTGGTCCTTTATCATCTTAGTAGCCTTGATATTCTGCATTTCAAATAAAATAAAATACTCTGCACACACAAACACACATAGCAGTTTCAGCATGCGAGTTTTTGTCATACCCAATTTAGCTGCAATGTCCATATTACTTTTTCCTTCATTTTATATTGCTCCTTATTATTTAGCATATTGCTATTACTTCATAGCGATAGGTATAAAGGCACTCTGGCAACTTTACTCTCCCGATCCCCCAATCATGTTTGTGTCCATTTCGAAGTAAAAATCATGAAGACCACTGTCTCTTACATTTGGCCATAAGAAATGTTGTTTACTGTATGTGAGAAATATGGATTTGGTACAATAATATTTAAATACTTAACATTGGTTTAAGTAAAGTTTCATTTCTAAGTAATTACAAAGTTTGCAGAAATAGTCAGTGGCAGACATGGTCTGCTCACTGTAGTCCGTTCTGTGTTTTTCTTATAGGTATTCACCCTTGCACCCAGGATTGGGTCTTGGCGTTCCCATTTGTGTGGGCTTTTCTTGGCATTGAATGAATCTGGTAAATTGTGATTTCTTACCTCTTTCGTTCCTAACTATCCCTGCACCAGTCTGAATATCATTTTTTCCCCCCATTACAGTGGTGTTGAATACTTCCTTTATCAGGCGTTCTTACTGCTAGGTGCTTTTATTAGATTTCATTTGCTTGTCCTGTAAACTAGACCTGTCAGCCTTTTTTTACAATAGGAAGAAGAAATGGCTTGCCCTAGCTAGTGACAAGAATTTTACTACTTCACTAAGACTTGTTTAATATAGGGTGATTTAAAGAATCACAAATGACCAATTGCCATAGAAGCAATATAGGGTCAGAGCAAAACAAATAATTCAAATTTTAAAAACTTTTACGTGTTTCCCATATTATTTGTTGACTTTATAGTTGTGTATTTCAATAATAACCAATCTTGATTTATTGTACCTTTGTACTGGAAAATATATTAATAGTATTGTAGATTTAGTTCCTCCATATTGTGAAATAACATGGTCACAATGTAATGTTATTTCAAGTACTTGTTCAACTTTCGGATAGTGCTTGTTTAGCATTGCAAATAAAATATCAGAGTATTACATGTATATACTTAACAGGCATTTTATTTTAGCCAGTTTTTACTAGCCAAGTGGTTTCCCGAGCAAGATATCTACAGGCTGGAATAGATAGGACTTGTTTAAAGTATCTGCAGGGTGTGAGGTTGGAAATAGCTCGTATAATTTTCTCATGTAGATGAATCGGAGTGTTTTGTATTTGACATAAACTACTATTAGATATAATTTGCAGGGATATAAAGGCTTATGGGGGTAATCCATAACTCATGAATTAAAAAAGCCTGGAGTGCTTGACAAGGAGTTGTAATGTGCAATCCAAGAACAACAAAAGAAATATTAAGATTCCCCTTAGAAACCATAAACTTCAGTACCTAAGTAAGCATTGATTCCATTATTTATTTACGGATAAAAAGGATTTTAGGACATTAGACAAAAACTTGTTCTTTTTCCACTGGACTTTGGCACATATATTTCCCTTTGAGTTCTGTCATTGAATTCTACAACTGGATAACCTGTGAACATAGTGTTATAATCAACTTGTTGAGCAATTAGAAAACAGTACTTCAAAAATGTACTGTACTTCAGTTGTTGTTTTTTTTTCCCAAAAAAAAAAAAAACCCTCCAAGTTATATCTCACCTTTGTAGAAAAAGATTACTTAGGATTGTGCTCACCTGTGTTTCAAAGAAAAGGGCTTCTTTTTATTTTGCCCCCAATAATTAGGACAGAGCCTGATAAATTGTTGCAACCTCAAAGACCTTCCTTGAACAAGAGGTCCCTGGCATTTTTGTGAACTGGATACACATTGGTGATGAAACAGACATTGTTGATGAACATTCTATCATTGCAAAGCAGGTACAAAAGAGGAGTCGGAGCCCTGGGTGACATTGACTGGGGTTTGTATCATACTCTGCATGGTTGCCCTTTTCTAATGAGAGGTTCGTGGAAAGGAGAGGGGAGGATGAAAATGGAAGTAAGTAAAAGCCATTCTAGAGGTGTATCAACTCGAAGCAGTTGGTAACTGGCATCAGCTAACATGTTTCTGTGTACACAAACTGCATGGCTTGCACCAGTCAAACTGTTTCTTTCTGTGAGAGGTAATGTCTGCCTCATTTTTAGCCCTTTCTTACATAAGAACCCTTTTCCAAAGTAAAGTTCATTTGCATGGAATACAGACATGTATTTAATTGTATTATATGGACTGATTTGATACTTGAGGAACTCATGTTACATATGTCATTGGAATACACTACAGTTTGCTTTTTTAACAGGGATACAGATATCAGTACTGCAGTGTGTGTGTGTGTGCATATGTCATAATTTTCTGTGCTGAAGGACAAACCTACTGACTGTACACTCAGTTCGCTTTCAGTGCATATTTTCAGTCATTGAAATGTAGACTGAAAGCAGAGGGGTTTCTATATAGAGTTTGGTATGTTAAGTTTTAAAAATGATGTGCTAATACTACACACACAGACACATAAGTATATGTGTGTACTTATATGTTTGTGTGTGTATATATATCCATACATCTACACAAGCAGTTTGTTGTGTTGGGTCCTTGGGTGGGGCAGAAAGAGAGATGATAGTTCACAGAATAGCCTGTGAACTTTCACCCCTCTATATGGAAACTTGTTTCAGGGCCAAATCTGCCTTGTAGCTGCCTTCTTGCCACGGTCAATGCCAGCCCTACTATTCACAACACTGCAGCCATCGAGGCCTAGGTACGTAAACGTTTAAGGAGTTTTTAAAGAACTATAAAGCTGAAAGCATTTTAGCAGAGTTGATATACTCTCACTAATAATATGATTTTATGGTTTTCAAAACATTTGTCCCGTGCTACTGTTGAACTGTATGGCTAAGCTTTTTTCTTTTAAAGATGCTTCTATCATGCATGAGGAGTTTTGTGAGGGAATTGGTTTTCAAAGGTCCAGATTGTTTCTGAAAATGTAATTGGTAAAGGACTGTTTTACTCAGTAAGTAGTATATCTATACAAATAAGTTTTTGCTTGTTTTAATTATACTTTTAATTTGAAACAATCCATTGAAGTTTTCTAGATGAATGCAAAAGGATATGCATATACTTTGAAATCTGATTTGAATTGTAACTGAAAAAAAAGTTGAAGTAAAAGAATTCATTGCTGAAAATATTAGAAAGGTCTACATTTTTTAAAAAAAGTGTGTTAAATAAAGGTATTTTTTTTCCCCTTTTTTTCCCGCTTGGGTAGGATCAGTTTCTCAGAGCTGCCCCTGTTAGTGGAGGAATGGGAGCCCAACTCATGAGAAAGATGGGATGGAGAGAAGGAGAGGGCTTGGGAAAAAACAAAGAAGGAAACAAGGAGCCTATTTTAGTTGATTTTAAAACGGATCGGAAAGGTGAGTGTCCAATCTACAATTCTAATATGAACAGTCAGTTGCTCTTTGAAATAATTATGTCTTGATTGTTTCCTAACTCATCTGGGAGGATGCCATCCAAATTTCCAGGGATAAAGATATGCCTGGGGAGCACACAGAAAAAAAAAAAAATTCCTGTCTCTCCTGTCCCCAAATCTTATATTGAGGTGCGAGAACTTTACAATCTCTGTTCAGGAAGCATGAACTAGATAGATTGGCTAACTCAGTTTGAGAGTGTATTCATGACAAGCCATAAAAAGGGCATGTAGGTGGTGCCTACAACACCATTGGTATGTGAGACCAGGGATTCTTGCCTGCTCGAAGATACACTGCTGCATTTGTGTGTATGAGCCGTGGTGGCACAATGGTTAGAATGCAGTACTGCAGGGTAATTCTGCCAACTGCCAGCAGTTCGATCTTCATTGGCTCAAGGTTGACTCAGCCTTCCATCCTTCTGAGATTGGTAAAATGAGGACCCAGATTGTTGGGGGCAATATGCTGACTCTGTAAACTGCTTAGAGAGGGCTGTAAAGCACTATGAAACAGTATATAAGTCTTAAATGCTATTGCTATGACCAGAAACCTAAAATTTCCAGAAATGTTGTAAAATTTTCACAAAAAATACTATCCTAGTTTTATGACTTTACAACACATGCCTAGAATGAAAAAAAAAAAAAGCATTCTGCTTTAAGCAGAACAATCAATGCGCCCTGCTTAACCTCCTGGCCCAAATGCTAATGGGAATATTCAGGTCATTGATTCTTATGCACAAGGCCAACAGAATTGGGGTGATTTGGATTCCAAGAGTGTGTTATTCCACAGGATATGCTCAGCCACAAAGTACAACTTTTAGATCCTGCAAGAATAGATGGGACTTGGAACATGCAATTTTGCTGCTTCTAGCGGAGAAAGCAGAGACAATTGAAGATAGGAAGCCCAACTTTTAACTGGCCCTGAACTGTGTAGGCTTTATAAGTGATGTGGTATGTTATGATCTCTTATTCATAAAGTATGTGATACTTTACCAATCAAATTTGGTACTCAACACATTTTGACATGAAAGCTTTGCTTTGCAAGTCATTGTTTGTTTGGTATTCAACGCACAAGTTAGAACTTATCACTGTTGATTCCCTTGTGACTCTACATTATTCCTTATGGGAAATATTTGTTTGGTACTCATTTTTGGTGCTCATCCTGCCTCCCGGATACAATTAATAACGAGTAGCAAAGTACCACTGTAATTTCATAACTGTTAATTTTAAAGTTTAGGGTTTTTTTGTTTTGTTTTGTCATATTTTATTAAAAACCTAAAATACTAAAGATATTCAGATATCTTTTGACTATACATATATACACAAACAGTATTTTGAACATAAGAGTTTTGGAAGCAGAAGATACATTAAATATACCAGTCATTTTTTGTTAACATTTTTAAATATTTCAAGAAATAATTTTTGTGATGCCTTTATTATAAATCACAGTAATGGTGTACATGTTCTTCATATTTTGAATGTAATAAATGGAACCCTACAGTCTACTATTGTGCTTTAGAGGTTAACCAGATGAATGAAGGTAGATGCCTGAAAAGGAATTTCTTAAGCTACAGTCATGTAAGAATGCACTATGGATAATTCTTAATGAATCACAAGTTTAATGGAGATTAAAATTACTTGCATATGAGAAAAAATGGTAAGATATTGTATTATGATGATATGAGTTTATTGGTTAAACTGCTGTGAGTGACGATTGGAAATGGCATTTTTTTTTTGCAAGCGTTAGTAGTTTCTCCATTTACACTTGTTGGTTTAAAAGGTGTGATCCCAATATAAAAATGTTACTAAATACCAAATGCATTAGGAAAGAAATGAGCACACACAACAAATCTATATAATTCTTTTTTTGTTTTCCAAGGCTTAGTTGCTGTGGGAGAGAAAACACAAAAGAGACATGGGCCTTTTAGTACAGGGAAAGATCTTTCAGGTAAGATTTGGAATAATAGATATTGGTTTGCATAAAAATACAGCAGTCTTCCTTGCGTTTCAGTTCTAATTACAATGTACCTGGAAGATCTTTTTAAAATGTTTTTTCTTGTTAAGGCAAACATCCAGTATCAGCTTTGCTGGAAGTCTGTAATAAAAGAAGATGGTCTCCACCTGTATTTGTACTGGTGAATGATAATCGTCCTGAATATCGCAAACATTTCCTGTTTAAGGTAAGTTGTAATTATCATAACATAAAAATGTTGACTTGATTCCTAATTCTGTGAAAGCTAGTTAGAATATTATGTGTAGTCCGCATCTGTAATCTTGAAAGGTAAAATACATTAAGGGGTCCTGTCCCATGGATGGTTCTCTACTTTTGTGATGTTAGAATTCAGTGGGCCCTTTCTAAGCTCCCCAATTTGAAAGTATTATTTCTTTGATTTACCATTTACTGGGTATAGGAAGTAAGTAATCATAATATAGAACAATTATCCAAAGTTACCTCAGCAAGCAAGAAATAATCCTGGGCACCTTATCTTCCCTTTAATTTTTCAAACTAGAATAAAATGAAAAAAGTATACATAGAGACATCAGATAGGTCAAATTTCGCCATCTAAATAGAAAGGTTTTGGTCCGACGTTTCCTTCCTGATTGAAGACTTCCTCAAATGAAGTCATTCTGCCAGAGAAAACTCTTGGATTTAACCCAATGAAAGCATGCTTATTGCTTCAGAACTATTATCTAATTTGTGTAGCCAATCCTTAAGCTTCGCTCAAAAATATATTGGCATTCTCTTTTCTCCCGAAATATGCCAATCATTTGTAGATGACATCTGACTATTGTAAAGAATAGGGTGCTGTTTCCCCTCCCCCCTTTTTTTTTTAAAAAAAAGGGAAAACTATATTCAGCTTTGAAATTATTCTCTTCCTTTCTTTATTCCCTCATAGGTGATGGTCAATGGAGTTGAACATAAACCTAGTTTTGTCAGCCCAAACAAGAAGCATGCTAAAGCCACAGCAGCCACTGTGGCTCTCCAAGCATTGGGACTAGTACCAAAGGAGCTCTTGGCAAACACCACTAACTTCAGGAGTGCCTCACATAACTAAACTATTGTTTTTAACATTTCAAACATTTCTATTCTGTATAACAGATATTTCGTTCTGCTTTTGTAAATACATCAGCATCTCATTGTAAAAACTGTACAGACACCTTCAGGCTTTTCTTTTGTACCTGCAAATATATTTAATTCATTTAGTTAT